TGAAACAAAATCTCTTTCTGTTTCTCCTGAAACAAAATCTCTCATTGTCTCTTCTGAAATACCATCTCTCTTTTTTTCTTCGGAATTTTCTCTCGCTTCTTCAATTACAAGCCCATCGTGACAATCCTGGATATGCCTTCTCTTTCTTGCAATTTTTTTCTCAGGGGTAATTCCTCCAGCATCATTCTTTCTTTTTGAAGAAAGATCTTTGACTGCAGGACTGGAAACGTACTTATCTTGGTTCAGAAAATGTTTCAAGTTCGAGTTAAAGTTTATTTGTTCTCCCATCAAGGATTTGAGGTGAATCACAAGGAAATTATCCACGCGCTGAGGCAATCCATATTGTTTGAAGACCTTGTCCTTGAGAATACTAAAATTAGCTTCTGAGGAACTTGAACTATGATGACCCATATAAAATGGGTTGCCAACTGCAGTCCACAACAAAAATTCTCTTTCAACACGTCTCAAATCCTTGATGAGTCCTGGCAAATAATAAGCATTTAATTCACTACCTTCTGAAGTTACTGCTCGAGCATTAGCAATGATTCCATCAATAAAACCTGTAATTTCAGGACTTTCGCGTTCTTCTTCGATCGTTACCTCAGGATCGTAATCTTCAAGTTTTTGCATAGCCTTGAAATCCATAAATCCCTCTTCATCAAGAGGGCGAGCTGCCATGAATTTCTGCAGTTGCACACGAGCATCCTGAACACTTGCAGCATAAGGTGAGGTCAATTGGGAATCCTCATGGCTCTGGAGAGCTACCAAACAGGTTAAATAGAATAATAGCTTGAAGTCCTCTAGCGTTTGACAATCGACCATCAAAGCCAAAGCTCTAATAAAAAAATCTTTCACTGCTGATAATTGCAGATTGTTGAAGATATCCCATCTGCTTGCAGCGTGGATGAAGTGAGCCACGTCCGTGAACAAAAATGTCTCCACTGTTTTAGGTGTAAGTGTCTTCGAATCAACAGCAATAAATAATTTCTCTAGGTATTGGTTTGTTGTACACCCATTGAAGATTATTGATTCAGCTAGGAGAAGTGTCTTTGAATTATCCGATATACACCGCTTTGGTTTGACCTTAGCTCGTCGTACAAATGCACCAAGCATCAGCACAACAACTTCCGACTCCTGACATTCCGATATCATTTGAAATACTGAGAGTATGGTCTTCGAGAAATTTATCACTATTGAGAATAAAAATATATGTCCACTTTTCAATCCCATGGGCCGATCCAATTTTCGAATCATACTCCCAGATGAATCAATAGTAATAACAGATTTTTGTCTGTTGATCCGACAATACTGTCTGTATGAAGCAATCTGCTCCTCTGTACCATAAACCGTGAAATATGGGCAAGCAGATACATGGGTGATGGTCCTAAAATATGGCTTTTGGAATTGGAGCTCTTCGATTACGTGGATTGGGTCTTTCTTCTCTCTTTTTCCCAATCCCAAGTCCTCTCGAACAAAATCCTGCTTAGCATGACGAATGACATCTAGTGAAGGAACAGTTGGTCCCACCGGCTGTCCTTGTTTCGTGGTTTCACGTACTATATTATTTCTAGTGTTGTAGCAGCCTTCAGCTTGAGCTCTCATCCCGATCATCTTCCTCTTTTCACCATTGCATGGACGAGTGACAGGTGCATGTTTTGTACGATACGTATCCTTAGTTCTAATGACCAGCGTCAACTGACCGGTGATAGGACAGGGTTCATTATCTGCAATGCCTATAAATCGATTGGCGCACGTGTGATCACGACAATGTCCAACAATTTTTATGAAATATTTCCTGCTAGATGATGTATAAACCTCTCCTCGTTTGAAGGTAAATGCACATGGCATTCCATATTCCTGATAAAATAAATCGCTGATAACATTCGTCCATACGTGTGGCTTCAAGGTGTGGGTGCTCCTTGATTTCTTCAACTCAATGGGTTTGATCTGATTCCATACCTCTGGCGTTAAGGTTAACCTGAATGTTGCTTCATTTTCATCCACTTCGGAATCTGTTTCCTCCTGGTACGACCTCTCATCCCGTGACTCATTTACGGTCTCGTCAATAGTTGGAGCGGGTTTAGAAGGGGCTAAGTTGATACTCTTATTCTGTCGAGCAATAGTTAAAATTTTACGTCTATCGTCCGTTACATTTGTATACCAAGTGAGAGGTTTCCATTTCTGGTTACAATAGTTTGTGCTCATTTCTTTCCACACTTGGGCAGTGCTGATGGGGAAGACATTTGTTCGAAAATAATCTATGTTGGCTTCAATTGCCTGAACTGCCTCTTGCACTGTCACACAACTCTCCCGTGGCATGATGCAACTCAGTCTTTGGATACCTGAAAATAATAACCCCCAGTTTATAATAAAGTCACCTTCATGGTTGACATCAAATTCAAGCCATCATTACCAAAAAAAAATAGCTCACCAAAGTTTATAAGCTAACAACTCCCTACAAAATGAGAACGATCATGACGATGTGAATGAAAACACAGACCACATGCTAACTGATGAACCAACACACTCATTCCCTCGTTCCGTTGTCTAGTGTTGCGCCCCTCTGTTTAAGCTATACTCTTTGAAAATACCATGACGAAAATCTCGTAATTGTAAATCACTAATTACATACCAATAAATGATTAAAATCTCAGTATATCTCAGTTACTACTTTCAATAAGATTTTCGTCGACCGATAGTCTGTTTTGGTAATGATGGAATCATTTTTACCACTGTACACAGTCGGAGCGACTTGGGTAATTTCAATTATTTTTTTTCCGTCCCGGCGGGCGCAAAGTTACATTTCCCTCCCGCTTCGCGGGAGGGAACTCTGACTTTGCGCCTACGCCAAGACGGAAAATCGCGTTCTAACCACGGGAAGTAAAATAAAGGACCCTCAGCCGCGTGCTTACCAACCTCGCCTTCGGCTCGGCTAGTAATTGCACTGGCGGCTGAGGATCATTTATTTTCCCTCCCTAGGTTAGAAATATACTATTTCAGGCCTTGGAAGCCTTCAATATGTTAAGGTACATTTTATCAACATTTTTATTCAGACAATAGCGAAAAATTGACGCTTATTTAATTTTCACACATTTAACTTGCGATTTTTTACGGTTATTTATATTTTTTGATCATTTGAGGTTAAAACTATTTTTGACATTTCTATCATGGAAAAACCAAATTACACACCCCATGCGAATGAAAATCGTCGTCGATTCTTCTTTAAATGTTAGCTAAGTTATGAAATATGAAGTTATAACACTACAATCCACTCTTATATTCAATTATTTATTAAAACTGGCAAACAATGCTTGAGTAATTATGAATTGTCGTCCAATGATATTATATCCAATGACACAAATGAAGGGACGGTTTTAATATTTATGTATAGGACTAGAAAATGTGAGGCAATGTAATGAGTAGTGCTATTGAATTCTTCAGATTAAGAGGGGAAAACATTTATTGAATATTTAAATGCCACATGAAATTCCCATGCTAATACAAGATCTCATTATACTGGAATATTGCTAATGAGCAGAAATGCAACTAGATAATTTCACTTACAGTTATTCAAGTTGCATGGATTTACTCCCATCATCACTATAAACATCAATAGATACTGCTTACAACCATAAATTATCAAACTGACCTGCAATGTGAACATTTGAGACCCTTCAAATCAAATAGAACCAGATTATTTCAGGAAAAGCTCTCGATAAAACTCACCTTCAAAATTTGAACTGATTTTTGTCTTTTTTTCCAGTTCATCATGAGAGCTTTGACTTCGCCTATATTGGTACAACAGGTACGATTATGGCCCATGGTCCTTGCAATTCCCTCCGGTGGTAGAATTTTCTTTGACGTATACTCCTGTAAAATTTAGTCCAACATTTATTCTGATCAACTGGGGAATAATTATTCTAATGGTCGATTGCCCATTTGCAATTCATGATTCCACTCTCGAGGAGTGGTTAAAACATTTCTCAAAAAACTCACTTGACTTTCAGTCCCAAAATTCGTTTGAGAATCACCGACCATGTTTTCTTCAACTGCAATACAAGTGTTCTGATTTATAAGGATATATGTATATAAACACCGTCTAGGGAACTTCAGTATCCTTACCTCCGAGAGAGCTATCGAAGAAACTGTCAAGAAAATAGGAAAAAGTTAACAAACACGTGTAATATCGAGAAAACGGGAAGCAACTAGATTCTTCCCATATGACAGCATACTCTTCAAAAACTCGTGACATTTTCGCACGAAGAATACAAATTTTTCAAAAAATGAAATATATGATTTTATGATGAATATTATAAAATTAATGAATCTGGGATGGTTATTACTCCAAAAATGCAATACAGCATGCCTGCTCGACTGTGCTCCGAAATGAACATGGCGTCTATAGCCCTCTCCTTGAGCCACACTTTGCTTAACCCCCACTCCATCACCATTCACAGGCGTACTTTTTCAGGTGTGATCATAGGTAAAGTCAATGGAGATGTCTTTAATGAGAGCTAATGAGCCGTTCATTACAACTAAAAAAGTTCGTAAATAGTGAATTCTATGTTTTCGTTGGTAATCCATTGATTTATAGTTGATTGAGTGCAGATGAAAAATTAAAATTCACTCATATACCGTTCTGTACCATGGTTTCTATACATATCTATTTCCGAACATAATGCGATTGAATATTGGTTGATTAAACATACTTTTAGATGTACAAAAAGTGAAAGCCAAGTTTGTGTAACTAAAAATTCCACTTGTAGAAGTGAATTTACAATCACAAATTACCGATAGGGATTCCCAGTCTGATTTCAATGGAACTCATGTTATAAATTATTGATGAATTTTAATAACAAAATAATCCAAAATGAATGATGCTGAATTGTGTTGACTTTAGTTTGGAAAATTCTGACTTTCTCCCCAAGTCTCTCGTTCCTAAGGTGGAATCACAATTGCCTGAAATATTAATTTAATTGGGTGGAATGAAAACTTTTAACTCATTGTCATGAGAGAAAAAACTCCTTTTTGTATATTTGTATGTAACTGAATTATTTATGATCCAAAAAAATGATCCTATATATGCAACGTTCATTTACATCATCATTTTTCCTATAGACTTCGTAGATTCTTTCTGTTTTTAATTTATTTATAAATTATGAGTCGGAAAAAAAGCACTGTAACACTTTAGAACTAGGTGTCCTCTTCCTTTTTGTTTGCCTTGCGGTCTCCCAGCTTCCTTTCAGATTTCCCTGTAATGCAATTATGAGAAAAGAAATTTTGAATAGGTTCAATAATGATGATTTTTACCTTTGGCATATCTGAAGGTATTTATATCCCCAAAGTTTTGTTTCTTGACTCCTCTGATCTTTTATTCCACGAGCGATGTACTGAATTTATACGTCTTTTCTCCATAATCCTGATAATATACTGCCAATGCTGTTACTCAGTGATGCAGCAAAACCTAAACAAAAAACATCAATCATTTGTGTGAAAACAAGACACATAATTAGGACAATTGAAAGATCAAATGCGAAAAGGAAATTAATCTCATTTACATTAAATAGTTATTTGCTGGCCTAGTCTAGCTCTCATGCTTCTCCACAAAAAAGACAATCACAAACTCATCTTCAAATTAACATGACTCATTTTATTTGATTCCTACTATTTCGCGAATATCTTGAGCACAAAGGGGTTGAGCAAAAAATATCAATAAACCTTTTTTGTAGAGAATTTCACGGCCTCCAAAAAAGGTTTCTTAACATAATCCCCTAAAATCCACTAGTTACAGAGATATTTCCCAAATATCTCCCCGCCCCCTCCCCAAATCATGACAACTCATCTCATCTTCCTATTTTCCATTTTCCCCTTCTCCTAATTATCCAAATATCTCCAAAATCACGAGATGTACGAAAAAAAAACAGGAGATCTTTTTTTTAGCTCACAAAGTGCCCACCAAAAAACGTCTGTTTGGTGAGGAACTAGTTTTAGGGTGGATGTGGGATGAAAATGTGGAGGGAGATGTTGGGAAAATTATGGTAGGCGGTTTATTAAAAAATCTCAATATATTTTCGTGGGATCGAACCACTTGTCACTATTGCCTTACACTCTTTGGTATAATTAATGTTGAATGTCTAATTTTCACTGATAATTGTCTTTTCATTTTATCTCGTTGAGTCACTGAAATTATACTGAACTTAATCAACAAGTTGGTGTACTGAACAAAGATATTAAATTTAGAATACTGATTGACTGAATACTTTAGATCATTATCGTAACGATACTTCTACACTACTGACTCTTCCGGGTGCCGCGCTGACCTGTGTCCGTTGACCCGAAAGTTCACGGAGATTTTCGGAGATGGCCGAGTTAGTCGACCGTGACCAATATGGAGATTTAGGCTGTATTTCGAACAACGTCTCTTGACATTTTCCCTCAAAGCCACCCCTTACCCCAATAACCGCTTATTTGCCAATGCCTGAAAAACACCCTCTTCCCTCAACCCCCAAATCACCTTTAAAAAATCCTCAAAACGCCTTACCATCGTAATTTATTGTTCCGGATTATCCGCTGTGGATTCATCAAAGTTCCTGAAAGTATCCACGTACAAAAGCGGCAGTTTGACCCCCAGAACTTCTTTGTTATCCATAAGACTCGTCACAAGTGGCCATGAGCCTCTGACAGACTCGAGCTCCCATTGAATTTGCCTTTGTAATGGCTCTGAAGAATCATTATCCTCGTTAGCCCACATGGGCTCACTGGACCCCTCTTTCTTGATCCAAATGTCAATCCTCTCCAATTCCCCCTCATTTCGAAAATCGTACGGAACTTTGTGCACTTGAAGGGGCCCTGAGGACCCCGGCCCATGTCCAAGTAGGGCTCCAGCGGTCCCAGGAAGGTCCAAATCCCCCTCGTCTCGTAGAACAATCAATAGATCATCGATAACTGTGCTTCAGGCTCTTCCAATTCTTCACTGCCCAATTTGTCAGCTTCTGGCTGAACATCGACCGATCCTTGTCTCTCAGGAGGTCATCACCAATATTCATATTCTGCTGGCCCTGATTGCTGTCCTTCAGTGCCATTTGACAGAACTTGTCAAAAAAAANCAAGCAATTTTTGATTTCCTTCCGGCCAGCGTCATGGCAAAAATTAAAAAATTGATATTAATTAATGAGTGAATGTACAAACAAAATTTTTCATAGTACAATCATGTACTAACGATGTACAATCGAGTACATAAGGTGGTTTTTATAATTAGTGACCTATTCCGGCTAAGTACCTGGGGGTGGATAATTTCGGATGGCAGTTGATGTCCTCCTCGTCCTCAACATGTTCTTAATGTTTTTCAGGTGATTCTTTTGCTGGCTAATTAATATTAAGGAATGAAACACAGAGGGTGTGACGGAGAATTAAATTCCCCATCAATCGATCCCCGTCGCATCCCTTAATCTCTGTAACAAAAAAATACAAACTACGACAAAGTCATGGGCCAGTGAGAAAAATAATTTTTCGTGAGAAGACCCGGTAAACCGCAATTCTAACCTCGCTTCGCTCGGTTTGATCGCGGTTTACGGGCCTTCTGATGAAAAATTGCATTCATCGCACGGTCCAAAAGTATTTTCTGACGAATGTGGCTTTGTATAATCACATTCGTCAGAAAATACTTTGTGGACCTTGTGATGAAAATAACTATTTTAGTGAAGTGAATAATACCAGTGACGACGCAGCAAGTACGTCAGCACAAATAGTTGAATTTTACCTTGTGACACATTCTACTTTATTTTTTCATCCTAGATCGGTCCGTTAATTTAGAATTTATAATTTATCATTTCCCTCTTTTCAATTTTGTTTATTTGGTCTTTCTTTAGTAGGGGGGGGGGCTTCCCCCCCCCAACTGCCACCCCCCACCTGGGCCAGCGGCCCCTGGACCCCGCTCTTCCCCCCCCGCACACCCGCGGGCTTTCAAGACAAAAAATAGTATGTCCCACTCGGTCCGTAGTGTCGTTTTGCGATTTGTGTGAGTCAGCAGCACTCATCGCAAACCTCCACTTACGGGCCTTGTGACACAAATAACTATTCTTCTCGGCGCACAGTGACTCCCGGTAATTAAAAATTCACTTCTCCCCTCCTAATTGAGATTAAGGGATGAAAAAAGGACAGTTCGACGGAGAATTACATTCTCCATTAATTAACCCTCTTTCATCCCTTAATCTTTGTAACAAAAAAGTAAAAACTGCCATGAAAGTCAGGGGCCAGTAAGAAAAATAATTGTTTTGCGGCGCACAGTGACTCCCGGTAATTAAAAATTCACTTCTCCCCTCCTAATTGAGATTAAGGGATGAAAAAAGAGCATTTCGACGGAGAATTAATTTTTCCATTAATTAACCCTCTTTCATCCCTTAATCTTTGTAACAAAAAAGTAAAAACTGCCATGAAAGTCAGGGGCCAGTAAGAAAAATAATTGTTTTGCGGCGCACAGTGACTCCCGGTAATTAAAAATTCACTTCTCCCTTCCTAATTGAGATTAAGGGATGAAAAAGTGTTATTTAATGGAGAATGTAATTCTCCGTCGAACTGCCCTTTTCTCATCCCTTAATCTCAATTAGGAGGGGAGAAGTGAATTTTTAATTACCGGGAGTCACTGTGCGCCGCAAAACAATTATTTTTCTTACTGGCCCCTGACTTTCATGGCGATTTTTATTTTTTTGTTACAAAGATTAAGGGATGAAAAAAGGGCAGTTCGACGGAGAATTACATTCTCCATTAAATAACACTTTTTCATCCCTTAATCTTTGTAACAAAAAAATAAAAATCGCCATGAAAGTCAGGGGCCAGTAAGAAAAATAATTGTTT